GAAGAAGAAGAAGAAGAAGAAGAAGAAGAAGAAGAAGAAGAAGAAGAGAAGGAGGAGGAGGAGGAGAAGCAGAAGTGGAATTGGAAGTGGAATGAGTCATAAGATACAAACTCAATTATAGTAATAGGGTATTAAACAGTCAATCAACACAAATCATGAGCTACGAACAACGATTGGAGTCATAACAAGCTATGGTAGGTAATAGGAAAGAGGAGAAAAGGAGAAGGGTAATAGGTGATACAGCCTTACTAGGTGGTTTGATATCCTAGGACAAATATAGTGTTGTGGGAATTAGTTGTTTAGCAGAGTGATAGCATGGAGGGAAAAAACCCGTGGTTGTTTTTGCATGCAATGCCCTATAGCATCACCTTGAAGGAAAAAATTGAAACAATTTATGTCCAGGATGTGAGGGGTCTGTAGAAATTTTCACAGCCCCCTTTCTGGCTTGTGCATTATACAGGTTCTCAATGGAAGACAGTCTCATTGTTGTAACGCTGTTACCTTCCCACCAATGAGATACCTATTTATCTTCTCATATGTGCATCCTTACGGGTGGGAGCTGAGACAAGTAACGGGAGCTCACCCTGTCACGTGGCGCTTGGGTCTCAAACCCTGGCTGTCAGCTTTCCAGCTGATGATCTCAACGTCTATAACCACTGAGTCATCACACCTCTTGCAGATGTTTAACATCATGTCTGGACTTAACATTTCTTATTTTTTTTAGGTGAGGATGACATAGGATGCGGCAGGGGTGTCAAACTCAATTTCATTGAGGGCTGTGTTTGACCTTGTCGGGGGGCATGGCCAGGGGGGGCATGGCCAGGTTGACATCACTCATTGAGGCTCTGTTTTCGGCTGCAATGGCCCACCCAGGCTCCGTTTTTGGCCACAACGGCCTCCTGCAGCTCTGCCAGCGAAAAACGGAGTTTGGGAAGCCATGCACGGCCTGCCCGAGCTTGGCCTCCTCTGGTCTGTTTTTGCTGGCACAGGCACCATTGTTTCTCACGGGCCAGATCTAAGCACCCCATAAGCTGGATCCAGCCTTGCGGGCCTTGAGTTTGACACTCCTGGGATGTTCTGACCAAGGCTTCCGAAGCCGTAATTATGCACACGCTTATTTTAAAAACAAGTCTTGTTTTATTGCAATGCTGGGAATTATTTTCATTCCCAGCCAGTAATGAATCTCAAACAGTCCCTTGAGATAAGCACCCACCTTTCTTGCCTGTGAAATGCTGCCAAGAACAGAAGTGTCTAATGAACTAGAACAAAAAACAGCCGAAGTACAAAGAGCTTCAAGAATGAATCTGAACTGAACGAACGACTTTGCTTCCTGCAAAGGTTTCGTCATCTTGGCCTGTCCTTTATACCTGACGGGAAGGGGCAGTCACCTCCCAGCCTTACTCCCGAGTCGCCCCTTTTGTTTCAGCTGCTCTCGCCTTCTAGCAGCTCTGTGCACGCGCACACTGGGAACAAGCTCCCCTGGGTCCTCGGCCTCGCTGTTGCCAGACTGCGAAGGCTCCAGAGGCCGAGGAGCCCATTTTCAGATGGTCCTGGCCCCATCTCTGCATCGGATGCAGGACCCTCATCTGAGTCCTCCCCAGATTCCCGGACTGGTCCCCAGTCTTCCCCACTGTTCAATTCCACTGCCATCTGCACCGGCTGCCAGCAAACCACATCATGGGATAAGAGTCTTTCTAAGGCTGCTTCCCCTTTGCAGCTCTTCTTCAAATGACCACAAAACCCTGCACAAGGGAAAATCCTGTTCTAAAGAGAAGGTCACACTCCAGTAACTGCAGGGCTTAGATTTATGTGCAACACTTTGAAAAAAAAAAAGAAGAAGCCAAAAACACAGAATACCATCATACACTGCAAAAAACAAATTGCATTCTCACCCAGGGAAAGATCAATGTTAACCGTATCGTCTTATTCTCGCGATTGTCCTTCTTACCGTGGATCTGCTGGGATCAAACCATCTAAATCTGCTTCTTTTTTTGTGACACCCATTCCTTTCGGAGGAACAAAACGTTTGTTTATCCACGTATTTTAACATTCTGTTAAAGGTCTAATCTGCGCAGGATAATTTTAGATTAGTGGAACTCTAATCTCCCGCTTCACTCGTGCAAGTCCATTGAAAGAACTCCGTTGTCTGTTAAGGTGGTAAGATAAACAGCTGAGGGCTTCAGGTTGGAAGGAAGGTCTTAGAAAGGTATTTTTATGCCTGATTCAGAACCCAGGAAGATGGGGGGAGAATGCTGTAGCTTTTCATCTCCCCTTGATCGTATTTTTAAAAGTGGCTGATTTATTTATTTACTTATTTAACATGTGGCATAGAGTCCTCCAGAGGGCTTCGTTTTTCTCTCACTAGATGTGCCGTGCTAAATATGACATAACAGAATCGAAAGGGACCTTGGAGCAGGGGTGGGCATCAAAAAATTTAGCCACCAGTTCTCTCTGCCCGGTTGCTGAGTGGGCGTAGCCATAGTGGGCATGGCCTAGTTGTCCTCCTGCACCATCCTGGCCTGGGAATGAAAACAGGCATTGGGGGGGACCTGTTTTCACCCTCCCCAGGCTCCGGAGGCTTTCCTCGAGCCACCAGGAGGGCAAAAATGGCCACCCCGGACTCTGGAGCTCTTCAGAGGCTGGAAATGGGCCTGTTTTCGGTCTTTTGGAACTTCCGGGAGGCCCATTTTTCGCCTTCCCTGAGCCTCCACACTTACCTGGAATCCAAAACGGGCTGTGCGGGGAATCCTGGGAGGGGTGGGGTGGGCGGGGCCAGCCAGGGTTTGGATTCAGCTGAGAATCCGGAGTTCTTTGCAGGAAGCAAAGAAGTTTTTGCTCTCAAGCCTTCGGACCCTCTTAGTTTGTGTTTGGAGACTCTTTGTGTTTGAAATATTTCTTGGCAACTTTATCGAGTGTTCTTGGCAGCCTTGCACAACCTTGGCAAGGCTCATTCTTATCAGAGGCTATTCGTTTGAAACAGCCTTTTAACCGTGAAGGAGCGGAATTCGTAAAGAATCATGAAAAGGTTTTGTTGTTACCTCCATTTTGTGTCTGTTTCCTTGGAACAAGGTTTGGGTCAGAACAATACCTGACAATCAGTTGGCGGGGGATGAACGCGCATGCACAGTGGATCAGTTCCAGGCAACGGCTAGCATTCCAGCAGAAATCGCTCTTGTGTGCCACATCTGGCATGCTGCCATAGGTTCACCATCACAGCCCTATACCATTCCAGACAAGTAGCCGTCCAACCTCTTCTGAAAAACCTCCAGTGTTGGAGCAACCACAACTTCTGGAGGAAAGTGGTTCCACTGATTAATTGCGGACACCAGTGAGCAAACAGGAGTGTTTCGGTTAAGGTTATCTCAAACATTTCCCAACAATTAAATCACATTTTCCTCCCTTCAGACTGGAGAGAGAAGTCCAGAACAAAAGGACTCCGTGTACAGAAACACAGAGGGAGAAGGTGCAGCTTAGAGACTGACTTAATCTTCTAGCTGACATTTGGGAGCAGATACATCTGTTGAAAGGCAGATAGATTTATGTGGCAGAATGAATGCGTGGAGGGAGGGAGAGAGGGAAAGAGAGAGAGAGGGAGAGAAGGAGAGAGAGAGGGAGGGAGAGAGAGAGGGAAAGAGAGAGAGAGGGAGAGAAGGAGAGAGAGAGGGAGGGAAGGAGAGAGGGAGAGAGAGAGGGAGGGAGAGAGGGAGGGAGGGAGAGAGAGGGGAGGGAGGGAGAGAGAGGGGGGAGAGGGAGGGAAGGAGGGACAGAGAGAGAGAGAGCGAGGGAGAGAGAGAGACTAACGTTTAAAAGCATAAGAAAACATTTCTGAGGCTGATCCTTGCATGAAAGAAAAGTAATGACAAGCTTTATTTTAGGAGATAATAAAAA